CAACTGAGCCACCCAGGCGCCCCAAATATATATATTTTTCATTATAAATCACAATGTTACAATCGGAGACCAGAAGGTTTGGAGGAGCGGTGTGTGGTGATATCTCATGTACCTAGGGGAGTGCATAAGAAGGGTACGTGGATTCCTGTGTCTCTGTCAATGGCCCCCAGCAGAATGGGAACTCAAACTCAACCACCAGGCAAATAGAGGAAACCTTGTGGTGGAGGTCAGCCAGCTTCTCTCCATGGTGCGATGGATCCATGAAGGCAGTGGTCTTGGTGCAAGGGCTGGAGGTTCTGCACGGGTCGAAAAGGAAGGGTTTTCTCTCCCCAAGGATGATCTTGATACTGCTGCTACGGAATGCCCAACCCACCGGCAGCAGAGATCAATGGTGATCTCTTGGTATGATGCCATTTCTCAAAAGGACCAGCCAGCCATTTGGTAGCAAGAGGGTTACATCAGGCTTCCTCACATGCTGAAAGGGGCAGTAGTTAGTCACACCTCGGATTTGGATTTGCCTTCCCTATGCACAGCATCTCTGCTAGCAGTCCATCTGAGGGCTTACACAACACTTGATCTATTGACATGGTATGCCACACAATACTTCGGAGCAAGGGACTCTTTTTCCAAGAAAGGGGGTGTGGCAATAAGCACACGTGCATGGGAGCCACTGGCCCTGCCCTACACTGCCTCACTCAGAAGCACCCAGAGCCTATTGAAGGCTCAGCAAAGATTCTGCCTCGGGACAGCACCCCGTGGTGTTGGGGGATGTTACTCCATAATGTGACAAATGCAGGGAATTAATAGTCAATACATGGTGCTATGAGCCAAGAAGTGGAAGTAGGATTGGCTGCTCTCCCCATCATTTCCAGTGACCCATTTGAGGAATTGGTGTTTCCTATTTCTGAAACCTTAAGCCTTCCTGGTTCTTGGGATAGGGGCATTGCTTCTGTCAGGGGTCATGGTAAGTGTTCTGTTGAACTTGAAACAAAAGTTACCATCTGGTCAACGTAGGCTCCTCGTGGCCATGGACCATCCAGCCACAAAAAGATTGTCATATTGGTGGGGCAATTGATCCTGTGTCCATTAGCAGCTAGCATTGCTGCTCTCTAAGGAGAGCAAGAAGAATGCCTGCAACTGAGAACATTCAATAGAGTGTCTCTGTGTTTCGTAAACAGACAATTGCAAACTGTGGCCTGACAAGGACGAAACCAATGAAAGGTTCAGACCTATGTAGGATGAAGATCCGGTTGAGCCCTCCAGGAAAAAAAACCTAGACTGGCAGTGGTGCTTTACAGGGATGGGAGAAATCTAGAACGGGTGATGGAGGTATGGTCAATGGTAAAATGGCCACAAAGTCTTCCCATTCGTGTATTCGCAGACATTTACATTCGTATGCAATGTGACTTTGTCACTCCTCCCATCAAGAAGCAGTCTATGCAGTCCTTGAATCTGGACTTCGCTATGTGTGGTAGGTAGAATTATGTCCTCCAAAAAGTTCAAGTCCCAATCCCTCGTATCTGTGAATGTGATCTTATTTGGAATTAGAGACCTTGTAGATGTAACCAAGTTACGAGGAGGTCATGCTGGAGTAGGGTGAGCACTAAATCCAATGACCAGTGTCCTTTTAAGAAAAGGGAAAGTTGGAGACACAGAGGAGACCCAAGGGTTAGAAGGCCACGTGAGGACAGATGCAAAAACTGGAGTGATGCAGCTACAAGCCAAGGAACAGCAAAGATTGCTGGTAGCCACCAAGAAGCTAGGAAGGGGCAAAGAAGGATCCTCCCCCAGAGGCTTCAGAGGGAGCGTGGCCCCACCAACACCTTGATTTTGGACGTGGAACCTCCAGAACTGTGAAAAACACATTTCCGTTATTTTAAGCCACCAGGTCTGTGGTCCTTCATAGTATGGCAGTACCCTCTTTGGGTTTGGGGCAGACAATTCTGAGATGCACTCTATCCACCTCCTAGCAAGGTCAAGTCCCAGCAGCTCTGACTGCCCACCAACTTGAGAATGTACCCTTGTACTGGCTTTCATCCCAAGATCACTGTCCAACATAAGCAACTTGTACACCAGCCCTTGTCTCAAGGTCTGCTTTTCCAGACACTCCTATCTCTTCTCCAGACTCAGAGAGGGCCCACCATTCCAGATTCCTAGCCTCTAACCCAGGAGTCAGGGAGGAAGGGCTTTGGAGGGGCCTTCCCCAACCGCTGCCTTGGAATTCAACAGCTCTGTGTGGTTAATGATTCTGTCACTTGCCAAAGCCTGGAAATGAAGCGTGCGGCAATTTAATCAAGCGATCTTCTGCAGCCAGGGGGCTTGGGCTCAGCAACTCTCCCGGGCACCCCATGGGAAGCCACCCCGATGCTGCTTTCCAGGCAAAGGCCTTCTCTCCCCAGGCTTGTCCAAGAAGAGAGGGCAGGCTGTGGGAGAGAAGAGGAAGAGATGGAGGGAACGTCAAAGCGGTGGGCTGGGGCTGAGACACAGGTAGGCAGGGGACTCAGGTGGGCCAGCTCTGTGCGCACGCGAGGGTCCCAGGGCATCCCAAGCCATGTGGCGGCCTCTCCACCACCTCTTGTTTCCCCATTCTTTTTATCTTATTTTAACAAAGGTGTCCATTTAAACGACAGCGAGGGAACGGCTGAGTTGAAGGAGAGAAGCGGTCGTTAAAGGGAAGTCGGAGGAAGGGGTAGAGGTATTCGGACTGCAGCGTGGAGGCCCTGGGAACTGGGCTGAGATTGCGCCCCCCTCCCGAGGCCCCGAGCTCTTTGGGCGATCCCGGGAGGCGCTTTTCCAAACAGGACCCCTGTCTCCTGGGCCCGCACCGCGTCGGCCGCGCGTCCAGAGCCGAGAGCCCGGAGACCCGACGCCCGCGGGAGCGGGGAGCCAGGACCCCCCCCCC